CCCATTGAACTTATCTGCATACCCAGCTAACCAACTATCCGTCTCTGCAGACGCCAGAGAATCCTGCCCGGACCAGAACCTGAATCTTGTCTTGTTTGTGTGAAACTTTAATAAACTCTGTTAAACCTTTTACCAAGTCTCAGTGGTGTTCTGCATGTGGGTTTATCTCTAAACCGATCATGACAGGCTGCCCCCCCCCCATTGAAGTGATTTAAAGCCTTATGCGTTCTAAAATAATTGGGGATGAACGTACCTATGCAGGCCATCTTATCCAGGTTAAGTTCATAACCATCGAAGCAGTCGCAGGTGTATCCCTCTCGAACACGAACGCAGCGTCCGTTTTCACATCCGTTCAGGATCCCACATTCCTCTGCCCGGAGGCCCTCAAAGCTCTGGTAGCGCTCTGTTTAGACCAATAAGTTCATATTAAACAGACTTTATATAATTCAGTGAGTCTAGTTTTAGGAACAGCTAAGTTAAAGCTTGCTTTCTGCTAATTGCCTGCTAATTTGTGAACCTGAGCTGTTTTGATCTAAAAGAAGAATTAACATCTTCAGCCAGAACCTTGGCTAAAGCCTTTGGTTTACACTTACCTCTACCTGTATAGGGATCCAATGGTTGGGGTTGGTTCCCACCTGGTCGTAGGACAGGGACACGAAAGGGTGGTTCAGGCATGTTGTAGTCGCTGTCAGGAAATATGGGAACACTTTCAGGAATTCCACCACCATAGTTATCCCAGTAGGGAGGAACCTCTGGGCCTTCGCCGTAGTCATATCCTATCCGCTCTCGAAGACTATCCGTTCCTTCTATCCGGATGTTGCACATTGAAGCATAGTCAACTGTAAGACGAAAAGTGAGAATTTGTTACAACTAGCTAACATTTAACAGGGAACCATAGTCTGATGAAATTTTGCTTCTCACCAGTTTCTTTCCCCGGGCAAAGTGCACACTGACCACTCCATGCAAGTCCGTACAGACAGCAGCATTCAGTGAATGTGGTTCTGCGCCCATGCATCGGGTCTGCGCACATGTTGTCTCCCTCGAGTCGACGCCAACAAATATCCACATGAACATCCCCAGGAGAATCTATAGCGTATTTAAGAGAAAGGAAGGGGAAATGCTGTTGCCATTTTACCACTTTAATAGGGACATTTTTTAAAGTATAACTCACCCCAAAAATCTCCTTTAAAAAAAATACTCTTTACAAACTGTTCCTTAGGGTACTATAGTAACGTAAGTTGTACTGATTTTTTACATTTCTTGTAAACTTGTTCCATTCTGCAATATTTGTCTAGAGATCTCCTCAAGAGGACATCTGACTTCCTCTTAAAAGTCAAATGCTGGCCTTTGTAGCTGAAATGTTCCTTTAGTTTAAATGATATGTATGTGCTTACATCATCATAGCCCTGCCTTCGGGTATCATTGCCTCTGCAACACCAGCTTCTGGCATCACGAAGGCTACGTTCACACTGCAGCCTGAAGTTACCCAAACCAGATTTTTTTTGCCAATATGCGACCTGTATCTGTTGTTTTCATGTAAGTCTCAACAACACAGATCCGATATTACTGAATCTGAAACGTATACGTGTTTGAAAGACCAGATCGCATTCATCCAACCTTTATGTCATTAATACTCAACATAGGCCGCTATTCTGCATCCTGCTCACAGAAGCGAGAAGATAAAACAACAACCCCGATGGACGATAACGCAGAGAGCAGGCTTTTTTCTGATCTTCTTGAAAAGATTGCACTGTTAATGTACTGGTTCCAGTTGGAAAAGTAATTAAAGAGTGCAAGTCATCAATAAACACTATCATTTTTAATTCCATAAACATGGTGTGAATGCAGCCTAAATCAGCACTTTGAGCCAGCAGCCTGCTGGATAGAGGTGGAAAGAATCCTGCACCTCAAAAAGACATGCTACCCTCTGATAACTTTAAATGATCTAATATGTCAAATTAAGCTAGCTGGCAAGTTCACACTCATCCCCACACCTCATTGTTTCTTGGCAACAAACACTTTAGAGTTTTTTCTTTTAATTTGTCCTGGGCATGGTTAGACTCTTACAATAGGGTGAGTTATACTCTACATACAATTTATATTCAAAATAATAAAGTATCAAACATATCAAAAGTACTGTATATTTCTAAGTGTCTGACCGTCTGTTGTGTTGTGAGTTACACAGCGTTGCCGTGTGTTGTCCAAGACTAATGGGGGGCTGCAGAAACAGTTGAATGATCCTGCTGTGTTCATACACACTCCATTTTCACAAGGGTTCTGTAATCCGCATTCATCGTAATCTGAAAGCATACAAAAAAGAAAAGCACAACTCCATCAGGGGAAATTTAAAACAGGTGTATAAATGAGCATTCATTCTGAAATAAATAAAGACTAACTAGGGTTGGGCTTGTATTTAGTGTGAGGGTCCTATTAACAAAATACAAGAGAAAGGACTGGATAGATTAGAGCTCTTTGTTTCATTGTGCTGCACACATTTAATCGCAGGATAAAAGAAAGTCATTGATTTATAATAATTTATCATTTTCACAG